TAATAAGCTACACTTTATATAATTTAGATTTCATCATAACTGGTGATAATTAGCATAATAAATGTTTATGTATGATACAATGTAATTTGAAACATTCATTAATGTTAGTCAAATTACATAATAAGGGAAAAACTCAAAACAACTGCACATAAAAATAAAAATATAACAATAAACATATCTATTAAAAAATTTAATAGCTATTTATACTTATCTCTTTATACTGAAATCAATAAATTTTTAGAAATGTTTGGAAAATGTATTCAATTAAATTTAATAAGAAATAAAACAGTTATATCCTTGTACAATCTCTTAATTGAGGCATTTGAAAAATTTAAAATGTATATAAGCAACATAAGCAGTCCAAACATTTATCACCGTAGACTGTGCGTCTGAAAAATTTATTTTATAAATATTTTGAAATAATAATGAAAACTATGTCGGACTCGGATATAGTGATCAGTGGAATGAGTGGTCGGTTCCCACTGTCGGACACCACCGATGAGTTCGCGAAGAATCTGTTCGATGGCATCGATATGGTTACCGATGATGACAGTCGATGGCCAAAGGGTTTGCTATTCATTTNTCGCGAAGAATCTGTTCGATGGCATCGATATGGTTACCGATGATGACAGTCGATGGCCAAAGGGTTTGCTATTCATTTATGTTTACATTTCACAATTTGTTTAATAAATGCTCTTTCATAGTTTAATAGTATAATTAATACGAATGAATGCTCAGAAATTAAGCTTCACTTATAATGCTTTTAATATTTTGTTGCTTACGACTAAATATGAAAATCTTTTTAACTTAAACTCATAGACTTTATACAGTCAAGATTTTCATTCATATACTGTAAAATATATTAGGCTTATATGACATGTCGGACCGAATGGGACGTATTGTCACTTATGACAGATTTGACGCTCAATTTTTCGGTATGACTGAGAGTATGGCCCAGAGGTATGGCCCACAACTCCATATGCTTTTGGAGTCCACTTATGAGACCATTGTGGACGCCGGTATGCAAACATGATATTTTAGTTATGAAAATGATAAAATAATTAGTTATTTTACTTAAAACATTTTGGCAACAAGGTATAAGTCCACAGAATCTGCGAGGGAGTAGGACGGGCGTGTATTGTGGTATTATAAACTATGCCAAATGCGATGGCTATTCCGAGTACCCACAGCCGGACCATACGACCCAAATGAACACTTTGATGATGGAGTCCATCAACAGCTCCAAGAGTTTCTTCGCCGCCCGAACGGCCTTTATCTTTGACTTGAAGGGCCCGGCGATCGTTGTGGACACCGCCTGTTCATCGAGTTTGAGTGCATTGGCTTTGGCTGTCAATGATCTGAAATTAGGTATTTATCTGTAATATAATAGTATCATATTTAGCATTAAAATCACGATAAATGCAATTAATTAATTAGCTGTCAATTAATAGTAAAATATCAATCTCTATTACTCTATTAATATTTATAATTTCAAATCAACTCTTTATAAATTAAAGTACTTTACTGCAATCGCTTTAATAGAGGTTCACAGTTATGCTTTTAAAATTTAACTAGATAAAAAATATTTTTAAAAATGTAGATGTTTATGAATGTTATCAGGATATACGGACTACGCGATAGTGTGCGGCACACACATGACCTTTGAGCCGACCATATATCAGATTCAACAGGAGTTAGGCTTTTGTTCGCCGAGAGGTATACCCGCCGTATTGGACGAGTCGGCCGACGGTTTCGTGAAGGGAGAGGCCGTGTGTTGTGTTTTCCTACAGCGCCGTAAGGGTGCCCATAGGGTCTACGCTAAGGTACTGTCGGCCCGGATCAGTACGGATGGCAACAAAAAGTTAGGATTATTTCATCCGTTAAGCAAAACACAGGAGGAGTTGATGACCGCATCGTATAAGGAGGCAAATATAGACCCCCTTAAACTCACCTACTTTGAGACACATGGCACAGGAACCAAGGTAATTTAAATACCGTACATATAGTTTTGATATTGTAGTCAATGACTACATTAGTTAAAAATGATTAGTTAGTTATAAGTATAAATTTGTTTGAACATTAAATAACTAAATAAATGTGCTTAGTGATATATACTTACCAAACATAATATGTTTAGTAAACATTATAAATTGAATGATTACTTAATTATAATAGGCAGGAGATCCTCAGGAAATGAGTGCCATATATAACGCATATTGCAAAGCACCGGGACGTAGTGAGGTCTTACCAATCGGTGCACTTAAGAGCAATATCGGACACACGGAGCCGAGTTCAGGTGTGGCCGCTATTATCAAAGTGTTGATCGCATATGAAAATGAATGCATTCCTCCTAACCTCCACTGTAAACAACTTAAACAAGAATTGCGTCAATACTTCCCACCACTACTGGCCATCAATGAAAAGTACCCTTATAAACCTGGTATTATATTTTAATGAATTTATTATTATATGTAATTTATATTAATATTAAAATATGTTTGATAGGAATGGCAGGTATTAACAACTTTGGTTTGGGTGGTGTGAACGCTCACGTATTGATTGAACCCAACTATAAGTTGGAAACCAATGATAGCCTAAGAATCGCTGAAATGATTCCCAGAATTGTGAACATTTGCGGCAGAAATGAGGAATCAGTGAAACATATCATGAATTTCATTGAAAACAATCCCAAGAAAGTCACAAATGATTTTTTGGCACTTTTGGGTCATACCATGAAATACACACCAAATCTGAATTCAGCCGGAATGATATACAGAGGTATATAATTATAAAAGTTACTTATTTTAAAACTGTAAATAATATTTGAAGTTATTAATTAGATTTTTGGATTGATTTGTGGTTTGTGATGAATGGAGTATTAAAATAGTTTTATTACTTTTTATTAATTATAGGTTCAATGATAATAAAGAAAGTGTCGGAAAATAATAATGAAATTCAATACGAGTATAAGAAACAGATAGGAGTTTTGAAAGACAAGAAAGTGAGACCGCTTTGGCTACTGTTCCCCGGTTTGGGCGGTCAGTGGCCAGCGATGGCTAAGGCTTTGATGCCAATCAAAACATTCGCCGATAAAGTGGAGGAATGCCATCAAATACTCCAAGAATTTGGAATCGATTTAAAGGATCTGTTGTTAAGTGAAGACAAGACACTGATGTCCACAATGTTATCGAAATTCTGTGCGACAACTGCTCTACAGATAGCACTCATTGAAGTGATTAAAGCCNGGCGAAGAAACTCTTGGAGCCGTTGATGGACTCCATCATCAAAGTGTTCATTTGGGTCGTATGGTCCGGCTGTGGGTAGTCGTGATAGCCATCGCATTTGGCATAGTTTATAATACCACAATACACGCCCGTCCTACTCCCTCGCAGATTCTGTGGACTTATACCTTGTTGTCAAAATGTTTTAAGTAAAATAACTAATTGTTTTATAATTTTCATAACTAAAATATGATGTTTGCATACCTGCGTCCACAATGGTCTCATAAGTGGACTCCAACAGCATATGGAGTTGTGGGCCATACCTCTGGGCCATACTCTCAGTCATACCGAAAAATTGAGCGTCAAATCTGTCATAAGTGACAATACGTCCCATTCGGTCCGACATGTCATATAAGCCTAATATATTTTACAGTTTATTAATTATACTATTAAAGAGCATTTATTAAACAAATTGTGAAATGTAAACATAAATTAATAGCAAACCCTTTGGCCATCGACTGTCATCATCGGTAACCATATCGATGCCATCGAACAGATTCTTCGCGAACTCATCGGTGGTGTCCGACAGTGGGAACCGACCACTCATTCCACTGATTACTATATCGGAGTCCGACATAGTTTTCATTATTATTTCAAAATATTTATTAAATAAATTTTTCAGACATACAGTCTATTGTGATAAATGTTTGGACTGCTTATGTTGCTTATATACATTTTAAATTATTCAAATGCCTCAATTAAGAGATTGTACAGGGATATAACTGTGTTATTTATTATTAAATTTAATTTACCGGTAATAAATTTTCCACACATTTCTAAAAATGTATTGATTACTGTATAAGAGATAAGTATAAATAGCTATTAAATTATGAATTTTTTAATAGATATGTTTATTGTTTTATTTTTATTTTTATGTGCAGTTATTTTGAGTTTTCCCCTTATTATGTAATTTGACTAACATTAATGAATGTTTCAAATTACATTGTATCATACATAAACATTTATTATGCTAATTATCACCAGTTATGATGAAATCTAAATTATATAAAGTGTAGCTTATTATAAAATCATGTAACGCAATTTAATGTTTCAATAGTGGATTACTTAATTATTATTAAAATACAGTTATATAATATTATAACATGTAAATAATTCAACGAACTTTAATTATTTAGCATATAGCATATTTAAACATATTTAGACATGGTAAAACCGGTGATAAACATGAACTGCAAAAATATATCAATATTTATAAAAATAAAAAACCCTCGTGCTTATGTGATGAAATAATTAGTTGAAGCGTAGAAAAATGTCTAGACATAACAAATTTTATCAAAAACACGAAAACACGATAATTTGGTAATAATATATCAATATTTATAAAAATAAAAAACCCTCGTGCTTATGTGATGAAATAATTAGTTGAAGCGTAGAAAAATGTCTAGACATAACAAATTTTATCAAAAACACGAAAACACGATAATTTGGTAAATAACATTGTATTTTGTTATATTATGTAGGTAAGTAATTATATTTTGAGAATATACTGAGAATATTACAAATATACTAAAGTGAGTGAGTGAGTGAGAGTGAGTGAGAGAGAGAGAGAGAGAGAGAGAGAGTTGCAAAACACAACATACTTAACACTATTAACTATGTGTAATATGACATTAAATATCTAATAACTTAATAGTAATAAATATTTTACAAACTTGATAGTGTACTAATTTTATATTAATGAATCAATGATTAATGAATTTATAGGATTTCATTAATGTTACAATTTATGATTCCTATATTTATGACTGTTTATCATTAAAAATAATAACTAGTGTTGAAAATACTCATTTACTTTCTGTAGTCAATACACACTACACTAGTTGTAATGATTTGTAATACGTGGAACTGGCTGATCTATACTGTATCTATTAAGTTTATGATTAGATTATTTGTCTGATAGGTTAGGGTAGGGTTGGGAAAGGGATCAGATTATGAATGTGGTCATCAAAAAATGATATTTGTAATACGTGGAACTGGCTGATCTGTACTGTATCTATTAAGTTTATGATTAGATTATTTGTCTGATAGGTTAGGGTAGGGTTGGGAAAGGGATCAGATTATGAATGTGGTCATCAAAAAATGAGTCAACCAGTTTTGCTGGGCTAGTATTTATTATTTATTAAAATAAAATAATCCACGTGCTTATGTGATGTAATCACTAGTTTCAGTATAGTTAACAATTGCCTAACCTTTACAAATGCAATAAAAACATAACAAATTTCATAATAAAATATTATTTTATTATTAGAAAAAAAATATATTTTGAGAATATACTGATAATATTACAAATCTACTAAAAATAACATGAATTAAGCTTGTATTTGTTTAATTATTCTAGATATTAATCTTGATTTTATATTAAACTATAGAAGTTATAGCTTATGGTAGACCATCAGCTGAATAGCCCCCGTCGACCAACATATTAGTGCCGGTTATAAACG